CCCTGCAGACATTTCATATGAGCAAAGGACATGGGGCCAGGATGGGGGTTGAAGAAAAGGGGGCAGCCTGGGGGTCACTTGGCCAGAAATTGTGTGAATTCCCACAAGGAAAAGCGGGGTCAGGAAGAACAGCCTGTCAAGGTTCTGACTAGTGAACCCAAATGAGTCTCCATGGAGAGCCAAGAAGGATCATCTGCGACTGGGGGGAGGGGAGGAAGGGGTCCAGTTCACAGTGGAGTTTTGGAGGGAGTTCATGAAGGTGATAGGATCATCATTCTCAAGGGCTTAGCTCCACCCTCCATCTGAGTACGGACGGAGCTGCAGAACGAACTAACGCTATTAGAGAACAATACCTGAGATGCTGTGTTAATTATCAGCAATCTAGCTGGGAAGATCACCTGCCATTCGCTGAAGTGGCCCAAAATACCACAGTGCATATTAACATGGGACTCACCCCTTTTAAAATAGCCACAGGGGTGGAATTTGTCCCCATGCCTGAATCCCCTCAGGAACCTCCCTCCACACTGAGCCTAACAGGATGGGTGGGTGGCTTACAAACTATTGGGGGGGGGAGAGAAATGTAAACCTGGGATCCTCCTTCCCTTCCCTTCCCTCCTTCCCTTCCCTTTTGCCATTTGGAAAAATTATGCGCAAGATTTTAGCGTTTTTGTGTACTTTTCTTTTTGATTGCAATATTTTTTTCTGATCTCTGTAAGGAAAAGCTGCCCAACATCCAAAAATTTGCTGTATCCACAGAAAGGAGATATTTAAAAAAAATATTAAAGAAACACCTATAACTTGTAGGAGGGGCTGAGATGAGGGAGGAAGAGGAGAAACTCACCTGCAGGAGTTTGGATGGGAGTGGCTGGAAGGAGAAAAAGAGCCAATCAGGATCCTTCATGGGCTGGAGGATTCAGGGGGTCCCCCTCCCCACTGATAGCCCATAATAGGTTGGACAATCTTCCCTTATAGCCCCCTTGATGAACAGAAGTTCCCAAAACTATTCCTCAAGGAGACCCTCTTGGACACCTGAGCTCGATGAGAGTCCTCCCCTAGTTGGTCCCCTCCCCACAACCTCTCCTCCAGCCGCCCAGACTCACCTTTCTTGCTCTTCAGGTAGGAGAAGAGCCCCACAGCTAGGAAGGCCGCTCCAATCACGGCCCCCATGATCCCTGTCCACAGTTTGCTCCTGGCAGAGCTGGAGGAACGGGGCTCTGGGGAAGGAGAAGGAGCCTCACCTGAGCAGGAGGATCAGGCCCACCCTCCCCCAGGAGGGTCCATTCCAGCTCCCCCCACAGAGAGGGTCCCTCCCCCTTCTCAGGGCAGGAGGGGAGGGCAGGAGGGGAGGGAGAGGAGGGAGGGGCTTACCCCACTGGACGGTGATGGGGGCCTCCAGGCTGACATGCCCCACCTGGCAAGTGTAGACGTCCCCCCACTGGGGCTGGGTCTCCAGCATCACCTGGAGTTGGTAGGTCCAGTCTCCGTTCTGGAGCTCCTCCCCGAAGGCCACGCCCTCCTCCTCCAGTTTCCCATTCTTCAGCCACTGGATCTCGATCTCCAGGGGGTAAAAGACCGTGGCGGTGCAGAGGAGGATGGTGAAGGGGGAAGCGGGATCCATCTTGGTGGGGGAGATGGTGACAGTGGGCTTGGCTGGAGGGAAGAAAGAGAAGGAGGCACATGAGAGGCACAGGAGGGCCCAGAACAGGAGACCAAGTTGGTTAGTTCAGGCCAGGATCCCTTTTCACTCCTGAAAATATTCTGAGTTTTGAGTCATCTTCCAAAGTAAATTGCAGCAAGAAATTAAAAGGGATCCTGAAAGAAGGAAAAAAGTGAAATCCTTCCTGATTGGGATCAGCTGCAGTCTTCAAAAAGGAAGAATTCCCCAAATAGGGAAATCCGACAGGGATAAACGCTAGAAACACCCAGAAGTGGAAGGAACCTTCTGCCAGATGTGGTGGAGATAGAAGGAAATAACGCAGAAGACGGGGAGGACAAACACAGCAGGATTTGGAGGATTCTTGGGATCTCATGGAAAATGGAACCACACTTTTAATCAGGTGTAATACCACATTTGTTTGTTTGTTTAGTAGATTTAGTTATTTATTAAATTTATTTGCCAAAGTGGCCAACTAACCCAAAGACTTACAGACCCTCTCCTAGCCGTGACTGCCACCTGCTCTTCCGGAGTCCAGGAGAATCTCCAGAACTGGGAACTGAATATACAGAATATGGAGGAAAAATCAGAAATGGCGACAATAGAAGAAGAGGAAGAGGAAGAGGAAGAGGAAGAGGAGGAGGTGGAGGAGGAGGAGGAGAAGGAGGAAGAGGAGGAAGAAGAAGAGGAAGAGGAAGAGGAAGAAGAGGAAGAGGAGGAAGAGGAAGAGGAAGAGGAAGAGGAAGAGGAAGAGGAAGAGGAAGAAGAAGAAGAAGAAGAAGAAGAAGAAGAAGAAGAAGAAGAAGA